AGCATACTGTGTGCATGACCTTAGTAAAAGTACACAGCATACTGTGTACATGACCTTAGTAAAATGCAAGTGGTCCAGGAAGAGGGGGTGGAGGTGATGGTGTATCAGTTCTGGTATTTTCTCCGGCTGCAGTGAACTGGTCACGTGCAACGCGTACATTGAATACGTAGACGTTTAATAATTTATTACACGGCGTCACCTTCAGTCAGGGCAGCGGCGTGTCCTCGTTGGACAGTAGACCAGGAAACACTGATTGGTGCTCTCACCTGCAGTTTGTCTCAGAGTTAGGAACATTGAATGTATCAGACAGCACGACCCGCCCTGCTCTGTTGGGATTGGCTCAAACTGTGGCTCTGGTTCTGTTTATTTGTTAAAAGCAGCTTCACTTTAATCCCAGTATCATCATTAGTTTGGATGGTTTTAAAAAATATCACAACAAAACATATTTTTTCTTCCCTTTTCAGTTTTGAACATGATGGAAATCCGTCGCAGCGATGAGAACTTTAGTTCATGTCTGTTTCACTCGCTTGTCCACAGGACAATCTCAAGGCGAGACGGTTGTCCGAGACAGAAATAGGTTGTCTCGGACAAACGGAAACCGCTTATGTCCACCCCTGCACAAGGACATAGACAATGTGTCGCTCGAATGAAAGATTTTAGCGATTCATACAAGCTCTATTTTATTTTTACTTCTTCATAACTTATCCACAGAAACCTAATTCAAAAGATCTAAACCATCCCTTTAAAAATCTAACCAATAAAAAACTTTTTTTTTTTATTCAAACACCTTCTACAAAAGTTGAGTTAATGTGGGGTTTTATTCAGTCTGAGAGCTGAAGAGGTGTTTAGGAGTAGTCTTGTCTGACTAATAAAAGTCACTGAAAGGAAACACAGCTGACAGTTTCACCCTCAGCTGGTGAATTATTCAAGTGAATCCCCATTGACATGCACATGTGTAACGGTTGCACATGTTGCTCACTCTTCCAGTGCAGGATGCAACATTGCGGTGCAGATGACAATTAGCAGAGGCCGGGACGTGGAGGAGACAACTACTCTGATTGAGAAAGATGGTTTGAATTATGTAATAGCTTAAATGAGAGAATGCTTAGTTGTCGTCTGTGATTTGTTTAGATGTTTATTTTTGCCGGTCAGTTCAGCTAGGGTTGAGCTGAAAGTGTCTCTGTCCTTTAGAACAAAGAACTACCACAACCTCTTCCGCTCAAGCCAGCAGCAGTAATCAGGCTCTCAACGGGTCGAGCAGCATTATACTAAACCAGGCCAGATCAGACCGTTCCACCGTTATAAAAGAAAAGCCCTCATTAAAAACCTGGATCCCATTCTTTACAATCACAAGTTACTTCTTTTCAGCTGGACTCCTCTGCCTCTTTTGGCCCCTGGGGACCATGGGAAAGGCCCCTTTATGGTTTTTCAGCCTGAAAAGGGGTTCTGGAAGGCCCATCATGTCAGCCATGTCCCCTGCCAGCTCCATCCGTCTACTTCCTCCTGACTCTTACGGCACTCAGGTGTACGGTATACTCAGACTATAGTGGCGACAGGGAAAGAGCCGATCCTCGGGGGTCCAGTCAACCTGCCTCTGTGTGAGATCATACAATTAGGCTCGAAATGATGCCAAATTTTGATTCATAGTGAATTTTTACTGACCAATAAGTTTCCCCTGACTGGAAATGATAGAAACACATGGCAAACGAGGATAAGATGCTGCACTGGAGTAACTTGTAGGGCTGGGCCGTATCATATCATTCACGATAATACCAGTAAAAAAAAAAAAAAACACACTTGCCCGGGAAAATAAACTATATCATGATATACTAATTTCATGGCATAAATATGTCATCCCACCACGCACCAGTCAGCGGATTACGCTCACATGGGTCATGCAGATATATTCAAATTGTAAAGGTGAAGGCATGAACAGATATCTGAGCTGGTCAGCGTTAGCTAAAAAGCTAAATACGTCTTCCCTAACACGCTGCTAACTTGGAGCTACGTCAGTGCAGGTGGGTGGGGTGGGGGTGCACGCAGTTCGGTTCGGTAGACTGTGAGCTCTGTGTTGTTGACGCGACAGGGCACAACGCTTGTATAATGGCAGGGGAAACACTGTCTATGCATCGAACACCGATTTATGGTCAAGTCGCACTGCGGAGCTTCACCTGAGTCTGAGTGTGCAGCTCAACCCTCGAGACCAGCTGCTTTCCTGAGGATCAGCAGTTCTTTCAGGCAGCATTTCATTAGTTTTCAGCATTTGCCACAACTTTTGGAAGTTATAGCTCATTTAAAAAGGCAGCATTTTTTTTTGTATGTTACATTTATGCAGATCTTAAGCTTTAATTTTATTGAGTTTATTTGGGAACTGCATCTGCGCTTTAGTTTTTGTGGTGGATTTTTTTCTCTTCTTCATTTTGTACAGACTTTTTCAGTCTAAATAACAGAAGGATCTTTTTTATTTTTTTATTTTTATACTTTGAGACTGAATACTAAATAAAGTAATTGCAGTAAAATTAACCCTTGTTTTTTTAGTTTTTATATAATACTGCAAAGCAACATGATAAGTTAATTTTGTCACACAAATAACTGATTTCTGTTTTTTTTTCCTTTTATTGTTATATCACAAAATTTATTGTTATTGTCAGAATGCTCTGAAATATCACAATATTATGTTTGAGCCATATCGCCCACCCTTAGTAACTTATGACACTATTTTTATTAATTTATTTAGATTTCCACTAAAAATACCACAAACAGTCATGATCAGGGATGCACGATATCGGCATGGTATCGGTATCAACAGATATTAGCGATAATGTTAAACCAAAACAAAACCTCACCAGCAGTCCATCCATCCAGAGACCATGCAGAATAATGTAGCATTTTAAGAAAAAACTATGTAGCCTCCGTATAAAAATCTAGGGAAAAAATATCAGTATCGGTATCGTTATCGGCCAAATAAATTTTAACATATTGGCATTTTGGATATCAGCCAAAAATCCAATATCGTGCATCCCTAGTCGTGATCTTTCTTGGTAACCATTAACTCAACTTGACCTCACAATAGTCATCATTCTCACACTTGTCAGCAAGCTTTTTGCTAATCCACTGGATTTCTGGCGTATTCCTTGTTGATGACGATCTCCACACATTTGAGGGTGAAAGAAGCCCACGTTTGTAATTCACTCCTAACTGCTGACATTGTTTTTTGTTAGCCATTTCGTGTCCACTTTGAAATGTTTCGGATCATTGTCTCTTGGAAAGCTCAAAGCCCACTCAAGACTATTTTTCTCCACATTATTGTTTTCGCTAAGCTATTGTTTTGAGACTCTGCTATACAAAATAGGGAAACCATCAGCTAATAATCCTTCATCCTAACTGTACGTGCACAAGCAGTCTCACAAACACCAACACGCTGAATCTTATCCAGAGAGACTTGATTAAATTCTGTCTTCCATCAGCATCAGAAGGAAGAGAGCTGCTGATTGGTTCAGTTCATGGATCATGATAACAGCCAACATGAAACAGATGTTCCTCCACGGTGTGATAAAGAAATGTGACATTATGGAGGTGTGCTGCAGATACGGCTCGTCTCTCACCGCCTTGCAGAAAGATTGACTCAGGAGTGTCTTCAAGTGTTATTTTTATCAATTAAATTTGTTTTACCCCAACAACTACAACAAATACTTAAGACATGTTTTAATGTAATTAAAAATGTGAAGTTTGTTTATATCTAGTGTGAAATTAAGAACATTAATGTGAAAACAATATTTAGCTAATAAGATAAAGCTTTGTGCACAATCAGCATAAGGTAAGTGACAATATAAATAAAGTATGTTGGTATATTTAGAGACTTTAAGAACTATCTGAACTTGTGCAATATTTCAGTGTCAAAAAATTGATTTAATTTATGTTTCACCCTAAAAGAGTCTGTTTCCATCTCTCTATGCTGCTCTAAAATTTGAAGTCCCATTCTAAAAGGGCTTTACAAACTATTCTTTTCATTCCATAATAAAAATAAATAAATCACACAAAGTAAGGAAAGTTGTGTTTGTTTTTTATTTTTGCTGTATCAATGCCTCTTCACAGTAAATCTTACTGTTGTAAAGCCTGTGTCACATTTGTTAGACAAATGCATTTGTGGGTTGAGCTGTAGCATTTGTCAATCCTCTGCTAATTGGCGCTTATTTAATGTTTATTGGATTGGATGAAGAAACAAGACATATTGGCAGTTTTACAAGTCATTCATTTAGCAATCAGCAGTCTCTGTAGCATGCGGAAGAACCATACACAGCCACAACAGCCTGGCACATCCTCTTCATGCTGCTCACCATCTTTGTCATACTGTACTTCTGCAGGATGGTATCCCATTCTACAACTAGCATTTGTCACATGTCAGCCAATGTGGTTGTGCTGGTTGCTCTGGAACGAACAGCACGCCCAGGTTGATCCCACAGGTGTTTCATGAGGTTGAGGTCAGGACTGCAGGCTGGTCATTCCATCCTTTATGCTCTCAAATTCAGGAGAAAATCCCATTCTGTGGGCATTGTTGCCTTGAAAGATATAGCTCAGTTACAGACTGGGGAGGTATAAGATTGCCACTGGTTGCTCACAGGTGATGATAATAAGCTCCAAACAAGAATCAGTAGCAGAATAAGATGTTTGACATTGGAAGAACAATTTTTGCAAGTTTTTCATGGACACAACCCAAGTACTCAGCTCTGCTGCTCAACCCACAAATGTATTTCCTCAACAAATTTGACACCTTTTACATAATAATCTAGTCTTATAGAAACAGTATTTTAAAGACACCCTCTACTGCTCTACAGAGCACAGTTCTGTGAGGGCTGCTTCCCTTCTGATAAAGTCTAAGCTCTTTCTCTGAAAGAAAATATGATCTTCTTGTGCAAAGCTATTTTTTTCTCCTTTAGCTTTCATTTACTTACATCTCCTTTGGTTTACTATTTCAAATCCTTTTTGTGTTTGAAGGAATGCTTGAATCCCTGCTGTAATGCTACTACCTGCACTCTGAAAGGAGACGCCGTCTGTGCGCATGGACACTGCTGTCAGGACTGCCAGGTAACATGTATACAATTGGTTTAATGATATTTGTTTAATAGTCCTCCTTAGCTCACTACATTATTTGTCTGAACTGAACTTTGAATTTTAATCAACCGTTTGTGTGCAGCTGAAGGCAGCAGGAACTCCATGCCGCGAGTCCAGTAACGCCTGTGATCTGCCTGAGTTTTGCACCGGCGTTAGCCCTCACTGCCCCGCCAACGTCTACCTGCACGATGGTCACTCCTGCCACAATGTGGACGGCTACTGTTATAACGGCATATGCCAGACTCACGAGCAGCAGTGTATCACTTTGTGGGGTAAAGGTGTGCAGAAAGACTCCTTGCATCAACGACAGACGGCTCAGAAACAGTTGCGAGCTTTTGAAGGTGTCTTATTGTATTTTGCAGGAGCCAAGCCAGCTCCAGGAATCTGCTTTGAAAGGGTCAACTCAGCAGGGGACCCTTATGGCAACTGTGGCAAAGATTCAAAAGGCTCGTTTGCCAAATGTGAAGCACGGTAAGAGTTCCAAAGAAGTCAAAGCATACATTCAGCTGTTGCACTACCATAAATAAATTGTTTCTCACATAAAAAAGCTTTTAAATGTGACTGGCTATTAGAAAAATAGCTCTCACATCCAGCGTTGGATGTGATTATTATTTGCAGCCCTAATTGAGGAATACGTGGTTGTTTAGCCTAACGCTTCAAGTCCCATCACTGAAATGGCTCTGATCTTAAAATGGCACAGTTTGTCTATTTAATTGGGCGGCAGCAGCAAGAGAAGTTGTAGCAAGAGAAAACAGTGGCGTGGAACTTTGTGGCTGAATTGTTTTTCCTGTCCTTGTTCGCTGTGTGTACAGAGATGCTAAATGTGGCAAAATCCAGTGTCAAGGAGGAGCAAACCGCCCAGTAATTGGCACCAACGCTGTTTCCATAGAAACAAATATACCCCTGCAAGAAGGCGGAAGGATTCTGTGTCGGGGTACACATGTCTACTTGGGGGATGACATGCCCGATCCCGGCCTGGTTCTGACGGGGACCAAGTGTGGAGATGGAATGGTGAGCGCTAAAGTAAAGCCTAAGAAGTTACATTCGGTACACTACAGAGCAATTATAAGGTACTTTATGGGATACAGTTACTTCTTAGCTTGTATTACAATTGCAAGACAATTGTGTATGATTATACTTTTAATTTAAAGAACCGGGACATATGAAAGTGTAATTGCACTGTATTAGAGAAGGCTTTACAGTAGTCCCTCGTTTATCACAGGGGATCCGTATCCTGAAGCCCCATGATAAGTGAAAAACCGCAAAGTAGGAATAGAAGTACAAGTAGTAAGTAGTAGTTTACTTTTGTATTTATATATATTAAGGCGTTTTAAACCCTTCGCACACTATTGCAATATTCTAAGCAATGTTTCTGAACTCTAAACTCTCTAAAAGAGCACAGAATATCATGATTTCCCTCTCTGCCTCCGCTTTGCTCAGCCACCTGCAAGCTTTCTTGGCCACGCCCACTTCTCTGCTCTGCACAGAGAACAGCTGATCAGCTGCAGCAGGAAGCTTATCCTGCAATGCGGGCTGCACAAAGGTGCAGCAGTTGCTAATTAATTTAAAATAATTTATTTTAAATAAAAATTCCATGCCGATCGCGTGGCTCATCCATCAGTCATCCAATTGTGTGTCATGTCCAATCTTTCTTTGAAAAACTGGGATAGAGCGAGTCCACAAAAAATTAACCGCGAAGTAGCGAGGGACTACTGTATTATGTAATTAACATAAGATATTTCTGAGGAACTATGGAGTGTGTATAGGATAATAGTTGAGTGATTGTAAACAGTAGCTTCATCTCATCCATTGCAATAATAATCCTAAAAGATATAGAAAGTAAATAAAATAACATTTTGGATGTGAACTTGTAATTGCACAGGCTGAAGTTTTCAAATGAAGCTGAAGGGTCAAGATATTGATGCTATGCTTTGGCAATGCCACAGTGACCCAGAGAAACCTTGTTTGGGGTCAGAATGGGTACCAGTGTAATGAAAACATGCTCGTTTGTGGACAGCGTATACTCTCAGATGGAAATCCTGATTACAAGCCTATCCAAATCATGTGAAATTGTAATATGGTTCTTCCAACAAATCTCCCATCTGTTACTCTTTGAGACTTTTGTTGATATATTGATGTTGAATACAACTCTAAAAATATCAACCATCCACAAATCAACCAATAAATAACCATCCCCAGATTACATCTGAATTGGGGATAGTTCACTTTGCAAAAACAAAAATTCTTCAAGCAGATATTTTTGGTACCATTTTCAGAACTTTTCCCGCACTTTTTAATGCTAATAAATTTGTAGCATGGTTAGCATGCTTGATCAAAACACAGCAAATCTCTTTCCAGAAGAAACATGCCATATGTGCTGCAATAAAATTAGATGTCAGCTCTTGATTTAAAAACATCTAGAGTTTCTTTTTGTTAAATTTTTTTTATCTTCAGTCTGCATAACTAACTGACCTTGTTAAGCTTACAAAGAAATATTTTTTATGAAACATAAAGATATATAAACAAATATGATAGCTTGTATTAAGAAATAGTATCTGAATAGTGTAAATATTTTTATTAGTGGTTGTATTAATAAGGATTTATAAGTAAAAATTATAACTAATGGTGAAGGGGTGGATTAAATAAGTATATACTTCTTCCCGCTCCTTTTCAACATTTTAGCTAAACAAAAATTGGAGCAATGCTTGTGCACTTTTAATTTTATTTGAGTTTTCCTTTATCTTTTTGTTTTTCTCTTCTTTCCTTAAATTGACCATCTACACGGTTAACATGTTCAAAATAAACAGTCATAACAACCAAAACAGAAAACTTTTGGCCTTATTTAATCACAAACAAAATCAGACTTTTGCTGGAATCTTTTTTTTTTTTTTTTTCATTTGCCTCTAAATTTATACAAAAATACAAGTTTTCAAGGATTTATTTGAAGTAGTTTTCCTTTGAGGACACAGAGCTGGATGACGATGTCTCAAGGTTCACTTCTGGTCCTCAGGCCACTTCTGTAACACAAATAACTCCAACTATTTTATTCTTTCACTTCTTAAACCTCCCCTTTACATGCACTCCATCGTGTGAAAACAAAATATAAATGGATTTACTTAAATTATTCTTCTTCTTTCGGCTTTTCCCTCTTCAGGGGTCGCCACAGCGAGTCATCCTCCTCCACCTCACTCCGTCCTCTGCATCCTCTGTCCTCACTCCAACTACCTTCATGTCCTCTCTAACTGCATCCATATATCTCCTCTTTGGCCTTCCTCTTTGTTTTTTTCCTGGCAGCTGCATTTCTAACATCCTTCTACCAATATACCCACTGTCCCTCCTCTTGACATGTCCAAACAATCTCAGTCTGACCTCCCTAACTTTATTTCCCAGTTGTTCAACCTGTGCTGTACCTCTGATGATCTCATTCCTAATCTTATCCAGCCTTGTCACTCCTAAGGAGAACCTTAGCATCTTCATTTCTGCCACTTCCAATTCTTTCTCCTGTCTTTTTGTCAATCCCACTGTCTCCAGACCATACAATATAGCTGGTCTCACCACTGTCTTGTAAACTATTCCTTTGACCTTTGCTGACACCTTTTTGTCACAAATCACTCCTGAAACTTTTCTCCATCCACTCCATCCTGCCTGGACTCTCTTTTTCACCTCTTTACCACACTCCCCATTTTCCTGGACAGTGGACCCCAAGTACTTGAAGTCCTGCACCTTTGTGACCTCTGCTCCTTGTAGCCTCACTGTTCCACCGGCCTCCCTCTCATTCACACACATGTACTCTGTCTTACTACGGCTGACTTTCATTCCTCTTCTTTCAAATGCATACCTCCAAGTCTCCAAGTTCTCTTCCACCTGTTCCCTGTTCTCACCACAGATCACATTGTCATCTGCAAACATCATAGTCCATGGGGATTCTTGCCTGACCTCATCTGTTAGTCGGTCCATCACCAGAGCAAACAAGAAGGGGCTCAGAGCCAATCCTTGATGACATCCCACCCCCACCTTGAAACTATCTGTCACTCCTACAGCACATCTCACCACTGTCCTGCTGTCCTCATACAGGTCCTGCACCAGTCTAACATACTTTTCTGCCACTCCAGATTTCCTCATGCAATACCACACCTCCTCCCTCGGCACTCTGTCATCTGCTTTTTCTAAATCCACAAAGACACAATGAAGTTCTTTCTGACCCTCTTTGTACTTCTCCATCAGCATTCTCAAAGCAAAGATGCATTTGTGGTGCTCTTTCTTGGCATGAAACCATACTGCTGCTCACAGATAGTCACCTCTTGTCTAAGTCTTGCTTCCACAACTCTCTCCCAGATCTTCATCGGGTGGCTCATCAACTTAATTCCCCTGTAGTTGCTACAACTCTGTACATCACCCTTGTTCTTAAAAATGGGCACCAGCACACTTCTCCATTCCTGAGGCATTTTCTCACCTTCAAATATGCCATTGAATATTTGAGTCAAAAACCTCACTGCCATCTCTCCAAGACATTTCCAAACCTCCACTGGTATGTCATCAGGTCCTACTGCCTTCCCCTTCTTCTTTCTTTTCAGAGCTTTCCGGACTTCACCCTCACTAATCTTTCCCACTTCCTGGTCCACAGTTTCTATGACCTCTACTCTTCTTTCTCTTTCATTCTCTTCATTCATTAGCTCCTCAAAGTATTCCTTCCATCTTCCCGTCACACTCTCCTCACTTGTTAGAACATTACCATTCCTATCTTTAATAAGCCTAACCTGCTGCACATCCTTTACAGCCTGATCCCTCCATCTTACCAATCGGTACAAGTCCTTCTTGCCCTCTTTAGTGTCCAGTCTCCCATACAACTCATCATACGCCTTCTGCTTTGCCTTAGCTACTTCCCTCTTTGCTCTATGTCCCATCTCCTTATATTCCTGTCTCCTCTCTTCAGTCTTCTCACTGTCATATTTCTTCTTGGCTAATCTTTCTTTGAACGGCATCCTGCACTTCACTATTCCACCACCAGGTTTCCTTATCATCCATTCTCTGTCCAGATGACACACCAAGTACCTTCCGACCTGTCTCTCTAATTACTGTTGCTGTAGTAGCCCAGTCATTTGGAAGCTCTTTTTTTTACTACCCAGAGCCTTTAACAGCTCCTCTCTGAATTTCTCACAACATTCTTCCTTCTTCAGCTTCCACCATTTGGTCTTCTTCTCTGATTTTACTCTTTTTCTCTTCTTCACAACAACAGTCATTCTACACACAACCATCCGATGCTGTCTGGCCACGCTCTCCCCTGTCACAACCTTACAGTCCCCAATCTCCCTCAGATTTCCTCTTCTACACAGAATGTAGTCTGCTTGCGTACTCCTTCCTCCACTATTATAGGTCACTCTATGGTCCTCCCGCTTTAGGAAATAGGTATTGACTATAGCCATTTCCATTCTCTTGGCAAAATCCACCACCACTTCCTGGTTTCTTTCCTTGACACCAAACCTACCCATTACTTCCTCATCCCCTCTGTTTCCTTCACCAACATGTCCATTCAGGACATGGATTTACTTAAATTAAGGGGAAAAAATAAAAAGGGCATGACTAAGATGTTAAGGATCGTTTATTGGTGCACTGGCTCAGACACTTAATACACTCACCATTATTCAGTCTATTTAGCATCTCCTAGTGGTCATCAATTTTAGCAAGAGGTCGCTTTACTGATTTACTCACTCCAATTACTTTAATTTACTTCTTTATAAACGTCCACCCATATGAAAGATCCATCCTCTTCCTTCTTCCATTCCTCTCTGTGCCAGCTGCTGTTCATCCTCACATTTAGGTCTGGGTGTGGTGCCTTTAAAGGGGCTATACAATAACATTTAAAGGATAGGGTTAGATGTATTTCTGAGGCACC